TGTTGTGCACCCCACGTGCTGCTGGAGGGTGGGGGGGAGTCTGTAATAGGCTTCAGGCCCTGGATGAGGCCAGGCCGAGAGCTGCTGGTTGACACAGATACAGACCGCTGGGTGGGCGTCAGGGTGCTCGCTGCCGGGATACAGGAATACTTTGGGGTAAAACTCTAGGAAGCCTGTTTATAAAAGGCTGCTCCATCTTGGCCTGCAGAGAAATGAACTTTTGGCATATGAGTTTGCAATCTGGAGGAAGAGAAGCTTAACTGACTTCCGAAGCAATTTTTGGAGCTTTGTATTGAAATATGAAATACAGAGAACCACGGGTACCTAAGTGTGGCCCCATGACCAGTCATACACCGACCAATTTTGGGGAGCTGGCACCCAGATCAGGAAACAGAACATCACACCCCCTCTTAGAAGCCCCCCTTACGCCCTGTCCTCGGTGCCCTGATGGTGATCACTATCCGGATATTCCCAAAGCATTTTAAAGGCTGGTTGTCATGAACTATAAAGATGGTTGGACCGTGCTTAAAGCGGATCTAGCCAATCCCTCTCTGTCATCAAGCCCCATGAATGTGCCCTTCCCACCAGATTTCTCAGCACTGCAATTCCCCGAGGGGCTCACTTTTCTCAAAAGTGAACTAGAAATGCTTTATTTCTCTAGAAAGGATTTGTTTATACTGAAAGCCGAGAAGTTTGGTTAGGTGGCAGCACAAGTAGGTGAGTAAAGAGGACGTGAGATTGGAGGTCAGCGTGGATGGGCTCTAAAGAGGGTAGGCGTGTGTGGACCCCGCACTTCGTGACCAGCCAACAGGTGGAAAGCAAGTGCCTCTTCTGTGCCAGGCATCCGTGTTAGCTGCACACACCAAGATGACTCTGATCTTCCCTGCCATTGAAGGGCTACTGCCTAATGGGAGAAGCAGGCCTGTGGGCAAACATGCTGGCTTAGTGTTGACAAACAGCAGACCAGAATGTCAGACAAACCTACATCCAAAGCCTAGTATTAGGTTGGTGCAAAAGTAATCGTGGTTTTTTGCCATTAATTCCAATGGCAAAAAACCACGATTACTTTTGATTTTGTTTGCTTTATTTATTTATTTTTTGAGACAGGGTCTCACTCTGTGTCGCAGGCTGGAGTATAGTGGCGAGATCTCGGTTCACTGCAATCCCGGATTCAAGCGATTCTCCTGCCTCAGCCTCCCCAGTAGCTGGGATTACAGACATGTGCCACCACGCCCGGCTAATTTTTGTATTTTTAGTAGAGACAGAGTTTCACCATGTTGGCCAGGCTGGTCTCGAACTCCTGACCTTAAGTGATCCGCCTGCCTCAGCCTCCCAAAGTCCTGGGATTACAGGTGTGAGCCACCATGCCTGGCCAGAAACCACAATTACTTTTGCACCAAGCTAATAGTTGCTGGGAGGACTGGAGAAAATAATGCATATGAAAGGCCTCTCACAGTACCTGGCCTATACTGGCTTAAGCCATTTGCAAACACTGGTTGCTTTCTTTTCTTTTCTTTTCTTTTCTTTTCTTTTTTCTTCTCTTCTCTTCTCTTTTCTCTTCTCTTTTTTTTTGAGATGGAATCTCACTCTGTCATTCAGGCTAGAGTGCAGTGAAATCTCAGCTCAGTGCAACCTCTGCCTCTCGTGTTCAAGCGATTTTCCTGCCTCAGCCTCCCAAGTAGCTGCCACCACAGGTGCCTGCCACTATGCCTGGCTAATTTTTATATTTTTAGTAGAGACGGGGTTTCCCCATGTTGGCCAGGCTGGTCTCAAATTCCTGACTTCAAGTGATCCACCTGCCTCAACATCCCAAAGTATTGGGATTCCAGGCGTGAGCCACCCATGCCCGGTCCTGTTGTCATTCTGAACAAGAGCGTCTCCACTGTCGTCCAGGGAGAGGCAGAGTATCCAGAGAAGAACAGAGCTCACAGACGGCCTGGAAACGCCGTGGAGTTTCCTGTCCTGGGGTCTGTTGACAAAATTCAGGGGTTCCATGAATGCAGGGGAAACTTGTATCTTTAGTCTCACTGATTTCTACCTGAAATCTAGCATTTTCTTTAATTATGAACATAGCCAACAAACCAGAGTGGTATTAGCAGGGTCCCTGAGTTTGTCATCATCACAGACATTGTCCTGTTGCATTTCAGTTGTAACAGATCTAGAAGTGTCAGTGAGGCTCACCATTTGGACCCATAGCAGCTATTAGATCAGCCACAGACCTGCCTAATAACAATAAAGATCATTATATCACCCAGTCACTGTTTTAAAAACACTTGGTAATATTTTCAGCATATTTGGTTTCGTTCGTAATCGTATGTATTTTATGTTACACTGTATAAATGGTACCCTGGAAAGGGCTCTATAGTCTTTACCACATTGGCAAAGGGATCCAGAGCACAAGATCCAGAATCCCTCTGGTGGGGGAGAAGGGAAGGATTCCTTTGTGGGGCAGGCAGGGCGTGTCAGGAAGGCTTCACTGTGTGGAGGAGCCTTAAGCAGGGTTTTGTTTTGTTTTCTGAGACAGAGTCTCACTCCCAGGCTGGAGTGCAGTGGTGTGATCACGGCTCACTGCAGCCTCTAACTTCCAGGCTCAAGCGATCCTCCCACTGTAGCCTCCCAAGTAGCTGAGACTACAGGCGTACACCACCACATCCAGCTAATTTTTAATTTTTTTTTTTCTTTTGGTAGAGATGGGGTTTTGCTACATTGCCCATGCTGGTCTTGAACTCCTGGGGTCCAGTGATCCTCCTGCCTTGTCCTCCCAAAGTGCTGGGATTACAGGCTTCAGCCACCACACCTGGCCCCCTATTGGCTTTATGGAGAATCTAAAACTTATCCCTTTTTGTCATGAAAAAGCCATCTGGTGGCGGTCCTGAACTCCAGGCCTGGGTCCCAGTCAGTGATTCTGACCCACAGGGAACGAAACCCACCTGGAAAGGGACATGGATTTGCAATGCCCAATTGAGTATTTTAATTTAGTCTTATGATATTTCAGTTTGAAACTGAAAGGAATTTAGTAAAAGGAATTTGGCTAATGTTTAAGGACCAAAGACCTAGGGAATGTTTTGTTATTCAATTGCAGTATTTGAAGCAATTAAATATAAAATTTAAAAGGTTTAAGAGTTCTCATTTAAACGAGCTTGTAAATGAGACTGAATGTAAACCACAAGCCCTCCTGTAAATGATTGTTAGAATTGACTGGATTTATACACAGCATGGTCAGATTTTTAAGTTGATCTTCAACACTTAAGGAAAAACTAGGTTTTTAAATGTAGAACTTTAATACATTAAATATATATATTTTAAAACCAAAGTAACGGCCACTAGTCATTTATCTGCACAGAAGTCTTTCTTTCTTTCTTTCTTTTTTTTTTTTTTTTGGCTCACTGCAGCCTCCGCCTCCTGGGTTCAAGCGATTCTCCTGCCTCAGCCCCCTGAGTAGCTGGGACTACAGGTGTCCGGCACCACACTCGGCTAATTTTTGTAGTAGAGACGGGGTTTCACTATGTTGGCCAGGTGGTCTCAAACTCCTGACCCCAAGTGATCCTCCTGCCTCAGCCTCCCGAAGTGCTAGGATTACAGGTGTGAGCCAGTGCACCTGGCCTGCAGAAGTCATCTTTAAACCTCTTCCGGTGGCGTCCACACGCCCTTGAGATGCTCATCCGAATCCGCTCACCTGTGGGCCTTGGAAGGAGGAGTCTGAATTCCTCCCAACTGTGGCTTCCCCTGTGGAATGGGATACTCCAGGTATCCTGGCCTACGGAAGGGGGCACTGGGACTCACCAAAGGCTGTAAAGTTGGGTTAGGGGGTTACAGCCAGCAGTTTAAAAAAAAAAGTGGAGTAGAACTAGGGTTTCCAGGTGAAATACAGGATACCCAGTCATACCTGCATTTCAGATAAGTAACACATACTTTTTTTAAAGTATGTATGTCCCAAATATTCTATGGGGTGGACACATACTGAAAAAAAAAAGGTATTTTCCTGAAATTCAAATTTAACAGCTGTCCCGTATTTGTATTGCTAAATCTGGCAATCCTAAGTAGAATGGAAGAGAAGGTGTGGGAAGGGGCCAGGGCGTGCAGGGGAAATGTGATTGCCTGTGTATTTGTGGGCATGTATTGTAAGTACCCACGTGTTTCTTACTGTGGGTTGGAGCAAGCAATGAGAAGCCCTTGTCCCTAGTGGTTGTGAAGGCTATGTGTGAGGCTGCCACGAAGCCGCTTAACAGCGCCCAGCGAGTAACGGGGGCTCCCAAGGACTGTGATCATCATTGTCACCCCATTCCCTGCCTCCATCTTCGGTCTTTCAATAACATTTATTTATTTATTTATTTATTTATTTATTTATTTATTTTAAAGAACACTCGGTCAGGGCCGGGCGCGGTGGCTCACGCCTGTAATCTCAGCACTTTGGGAGGCCAAGGCGGGCGGATCACCTGAGGTCAGGAGTTCGAGAGCAGCCCGGCCAACATGGCGAAACCCTGTCTCTACTAAAAATACAAAAATCAGCCGGGTGTGGTGGGGCGCGCCTGTAATCCCAGCTACTTGGTCAGACTTTCACCTCTCTTCCAAGGGGAAGCCTCAGTTCTGCTCTCTAGGGCCTTACCCGGGCAAAGGTGCCACCAGGTGGACCGTGAGCCGAATGCCAGCGGATGCTTCCACGCATGCTGTGGTCTCTGCGGAGAGGCCCTGCGAGCATGCGCGGTGGGCGCAGGGGGGCGGGGGGGTGAGATGGAAACGGAGGGAAAATGCCTGTTGTCCTGACACTCATCCGAGTGCAACGTGCTGTGCTCGTGTGTGTGGTGTGCTGGTGTAGACAAACCTACTGCACCATCAGTTGCGTCAAAGTTTAGCACATGCAACTGTGCACAGTGTGTAATCATAATAAACAATTCTGTGGTTTATGGATTTACTTTACTATATGTTTGATCATTATTTTAGTGTGCACTTCTACTTATTTAGAAAAAATTTTACTTAAATCAGCCTTGTTTTAACAACAGGTCCTTCAGGAGGCATCCAGAAGAAGGCGTTATCATAGGAGATGACAGCTCATGCCTGCCATTGCCCCGAAGGCCTCCTAGGGGGCCAAGATGTGGAGGCGGAAGGCACTCTACCCTGAGTGGGCCTAGGCTAATGTGTGTGCTTGTGTCTTAGTTTTTGGTAAAACAAGTTTAAAAAGTAAAAATATAAAAAAATAAATAAAATAAAACGAAAACAGTGTATATGGCCAGGTGTGGTGGTTCACACCTATAATCCCAGCACTTTGGGAGGCCGAGGTGGTGGATCACCTGCGGTCAGGAGTTCGAGACCAGCCTGGCCAACATGGTGAAACCCCATGTCTACTAAAAATACAAAAATTAGCCGGACATGGTTGCACATGCCTGTAATCCCAGCTACTTGGGAGGCTGAAATAGCAGAATCACTTGAACCCAGGAGGCGGAGGTTGTAGTAAGCCGAGATTGTGCCACTGCATTCCGGCCTAGGCGACAGAGAGAGACTCCATCTCAAAAACAAACAAACAAATAAACAAACAAAAAACCCAGAAACCAGTATGCAGTTTATAGAATAAGGATATAAAGAAAAAATATATGGCTGGGTGCAGTGGCTCACACTTGTAATCCCAGCACTTTGGGAGGCCGAGGTGGGCAGATCACCTGAGGTTGGGAGTTCGAGACCAACCTGACCAACAGGGAGAAACTCCATGTCTACTAAAAATACAAAATTAGCCAGGAATGGTGGTGCATGCTTGTAATCTCAGCTACTCGGGAAGTATGTTATTTATCCTGTATGTCTTTATCCTTTTTGGGAGGCGGAGGTTGCAGTGAGCTGACCTGGGTGACAGAGGGAGACTTGGTCTCAAAAAAACAAAAAAAAAAAAAAAAAGAAAAAAGAAAGAAAATATTTTTATACAGGTATACAATGTATTTGTGTTTTAAGCTAAGTGTTATTACAAGAGCCCAAATGTTTTTTAAAAAGTAAAAAGTATATAAAGTTAAACCATTACAGTAAGCTAAGGCTAATTTATTATCAAAGAAAGAAAACTATTTTTTATGAACTTAATGTGGCCTAAGTGTCAGTGTTTACAAAGTTTACATTAGTGGCCAGTAATGTCCTAGGCCTTCACATCCACTCACCACCCACTGGTGACTCGCCCAGAGCCACTTCCAGTCCTGCAAGCTCCATTCGTGGTAAGTGCCCTAAACCTGTGTGACATTTATATTTTTCATACCATAATTTTACTGTACTTTGTCTATGTTTGTATCTTAGATACACAAATGCTGTTTTTTTGTTTTTTTGGTTTTTTTTTTTTAGACAGGTCTGGCTCTGTCACCCAGGCTGGAGTGCAGTGGTGCGATCTCAGCTAATCTCCACCTCCCAGGTTCAAGCGATTCTCCTGCCTCAGGCTCCCAAGTAGCTGGGACTACAGGTGACTACCGCCATGCCTGGCTAATTTTTGTATTTTTAGTAGAGATGGGGTTTCACCATGTTGGCCTGACCTCAGGTGATCTATCTGCTTTGGCCTCCCAAAGTTCTGGGATTACAAGCATGAGCCACTGCGCCTGGCCTAGATCCACAAATATTAATACTTACCATTGTGTCACAATTGCCTACAATATTCAATATAGTCCCACATTGTACAGGTGTGTAGCAGGCTGCCTCATCTAGGTCTTCGTCATGATGTTTGCACTACCACGAAATTGCCTAATGACATGTCTCAAAACGTATCCCTGTTGTTAAGCAACTCATGACTGTATAAATAGATACATTTGAAAATAAATTTTTATTTAAAAAGAATATTTGTTTAGCAATAATATTTATTTTAAAAGAATGACAAACACATAGCATGTTAACATTAGTAATTATTTTAAATGAAAAATAAGTATGTTCTGAAACCACAACAACAAAGTTGACAATAAGGGTGACATTATCTTTCATTTTTGTCAATATCTTTAATGTCTGGGTTGACAGGAGACAGGTAGATTCTCATATCTGCTTCTGCATGAGTCTGTTGTGATACATTGTTTTGGCTGAAGTGTGTAAGGAATATCCAGCCACTCCCAGACATGCTGTTGGAAAAGGGATGAGTAATTCAATACCGTTTTTAGATAGTTGTGACTATTCTTCTTTGATATGACACCAAAACTGGACATGTTTAAAGACTAGTTATCATGATTATTTAAAGATTCTTTAATTTAAAAGATGAGTTACAATCAAAGATTGGTTAAAATGTGGATTAAAGGTTGATTATGTGGATTTGAGATTATAATCTTTAAACTGAAAGGTCTTGTACATTTTCTTTTTTTTTTTTTTTTTTTGAGACAGAGTCTTGCTTTGTCGCGCAGGCTGGAGTGCAGTGGCTTGATCTTGGCTCACCGCAACCTCTGCCTCCCGGGTTCACGCCATTCTCCTGCCTCAGCCTCTGGAGTAGCTGGGACTACAGGCGCCCACCACCATGCCTGGCTAATTTTTTGTATTTTTAGTAGAGATGGGGTTTCACCGTGTTAGCCAGGATGGTCTCGATCTCCTGACCTCATGATCCGCCTCCCAAAGTGCTGGAATTACAGGTGTGAGCCACTGCGCCCGGCCTGGTCTTGTACATTTTCATTTACTTTTTGTATATGATGTGAAGTAGAGCTCCAACTTCGTTCTTCCGCAGGTGGCTATCCGCGATCCCAGCTGAAGAAAAGACTGTTCTTCCCCCACTTCACCCCCACATTTGGGGGTCAGTTGATTTTGATGAGAGCCAAGGCACTCTCATCAAAATCAACTGACCCCCAAATGTGAGTTTCTTTCTGGACTCTCAGTTGCATTATATTGGTCTATATATCTATCTGTATACAAGCACACACAGGCTTGACTACTGTAGCTTTGCAGTAAATTTTGAAATCAGAAAGTGTGCATCCTCCAATCTTTGCTCTTTTTCAAGATTTTTTTGGTCGTCTGGGTTCCTTGAGTTTCCACATGAATTTTAAGATCAGCTTAATTCCTACAGAGAAGCCAGCTGAGATTCTGATAGGGATTGTCTTGAATCAATGTTCTTTTTGCTATAAGTTACAGAGTGAATTAAACAACTGAAGGAAGGTCCCTGTGAGCTGCAGTCCCGGGAGAAGAGGAAACCCTTCAAAGTGGATTCTGGAAAGAACAGCCTTGGTTTTCTTCTGAACAATAAGTTCTGGCCCAGCTGGACCCGGGGTGGGCACCGGGAGTGCTGGCTGATAGCCCTGTCCTGCCAGCCCTGCGAGGTGTGGGGAGCACCTGCAGCATGGCTCACCTGAACCCAGTCCCCAGGCCCATGGCCTCCGAGAGATGAACGCTGGCTGCCCAGAAGCAGGTGTGGGGGAGGAGGCAGAGGGACCGCCCACGGGCATCCCTGGGCTCCCTGGCTCCTGCCTGCTGATGTGCCGCCTCAGTCGGACAGAGGTTTCAACACACTTGTACCCTTCCCAACACAGGCAAGGTATCTCCTGGGCCTGGAAGAAAACCAAGGTCAGGGGATCTCCTAGTTCAATGAGGGAGAACGACATGTAAGGAAGATAAAAATTAAAGCCGTGTGGGACGTGAGACATCCAGGGTCTCATACGACAAGACGTGAGTGGACTGCAGGCTGGGGCGGCGCTGTGGAGAGGGGAGACCTGGGGTGGGGCTGGGGACAGGGGAGGCTGGGGCGGGGTGGGGGTGAGGAGTGGGATCCAGGAAGGTTCTAAGAGGAGAAGATGCCCACCCACACTGGGGTTACAAGGAGGATAGGAATTTGTCAGAGGGCAAGGGGACAGCAGGAGGGAGTGACCAAGGGGGTCAGCAGGGGCAAAGGCCAGGAGGTGGTCACGGTAGTGGTGTGTGTGGGGACAGAAGGTGTCAGCACAGCTGATGCTGGGGAAGGGGCAGGCAGGGATCCCCGTCCTGGAGAGCCAGGCCAGAGCACTCGGGGACTGTCCTATGGCCAGCAGGAACCTGAAGGGCTCAGGAACATGCCCTGGCAGCCAGAAACAGGATGGAGGGAGCGGGTAGGACGGTGAAACCCTCTTATTCTGGAACTCAGCCCCTCTGGGAGACACAGGAAGGAACTGCCAGGGCTGTGGACTTGCACAGTCTCGTCTGAACGATCTCATCCCTGGCAGTTTGTTTGTTTGTGTTTTAAAGATAGGGTCTTACTCTGTCACCCAGGCTGGAGCGTGCTGGCACAATCATGGCTCACTGCAGCCTTGGCCTCCCTGGCCCAAGTGATCCTCCCACCTCAGCCTCGAGAGCACCTGGGCCCACAAGCACACACCACCACACGCAGCTAATTTTTATTTCATTTTATCTGTGGCGATGGGGGTCTCACTATCTTGGCCAGACTGGTCTTAAACTCCTGGGCTCAAGTGATCCTTCCCACTCGGTCTCCCAAAATGCACCGGATATTACAGGCATGAGCAGCTGCGCCTAGACCCTGGCAGCCTGTTGAAATGGAATGTATCTGTCACCATCTTTGCAGGTTGGGAAACCAAGGCTAAGAGAAGAGAGTGACTTCTTCAGGGTCACCCTGTTATCCGTGTCGGTGGGAAAAACCCTGGACAGCCCCCCACTACCCTGATTTCTTTTCCTCATCTCTGTCCTCAGACTGGTCAGCAGGGCACACAATGCCCACCAGAGGGCACCAAAGGCCAGACTTTGCCGTGCACTCCCACACAGCTTTGATTGAGTCTCAGATGTGGTCTCCACTGATAAGAATCTCAGATGCAGCCTCCACTGATTGAGAGCTTCACACGCAGTCCCCACTGATTGAGAGTCTCAGAGGCAGCTCCCATTGATTGAGTCTCAGATGCAACCCCTGTTGATTGACTCGCAGATGCAGCCCCCATAGACTGAGAGCCCCAGAGGCAGCCCCGTTGATAGAGTCCCAGATGCAGCCCCTGTTGGCTGAAAGTCTCAGATACAGCCCCCATTGATTGAGCGTCTCAGAGGAAGAGTCCTCGTTGATTCTCAGACACAACCCCCAGTGACTCTCAGAGGCAGCCCCCATTGATTGAGTCTCTATAGACCGAGAGCCCCAGAAGCCCCAGAAGAAGCCCCATTGATTGAGAGGCTCACACGCAGCCCCCACTGAGTGAGAGCTTCAGATGCAGCCTCGGTTGACTGAGAGCTTCAGAATCAACCTCC